TCGCTCATCCCTCCAACGAGCAGAGAGCCAATGACTGTCGGGCACCAGCTCTCTGCTCTGACTGTACTAATGGCACTAGGCAGGAAGGGGTTAACATGAGTGGCAAAGGGTTAACTGTGTGCTGTTTTACATAGGGCTGTGTCTGTGTGCTTCACTGTAAGCACACTGCTTTGCATGGCTGTGCTCTGCGCAGCCATCCAGAGCTGTGTGCACAAGCAGACAGGGAGGAAAACTGTTGTTTACAAACAGTTCTCCTCTCTGGAGATGCTTGGCAATCACCGGACGCCGGCGAGTAATCACCGGACGCCGGCGAGTAATCACCGGACGCCGGCGAGTAATCACCGGACGCCGGCGAGTAATCACCGGACGCCGGCGAGTAATCACCGGACGCCGGCGAGTAATCACCGGACGCCGGCGAGTAATCACCGGACGCCGGCGAGTAATCACCGGACGCCGGCGAGTAATGGGACCCGGTAATTGACAGCCGCGGCTGGTGGCGTGGGTAGGGCGCATGCCCACTACCTGGAACTGCAAAATCATGTATAGATACACATGACTTTGCGCACCTGTGCCGCCCTGTAGCAGTATTTCTGCTATAGGACGGTCAGGAAGTAGTAATTGAAAAGAAAAAAAAACCAAAAAAAAAAACCACATGAACTCAATTTAGAGAGGGTGTTAACATACTTGACCATATAGTGTAGCTGTCATGGCCGGGGCCAAACACAGTATGTTTCCACCAGCCAACAGCACACTGAATAGGAAACAGGTTCAATACAACTGAAGTTATGAGTTACAGGTAGTTAATCTTAAATTAATCTTAAGTAGTTAATCTACAAACAACATAATGTTTTATGTCAATAGTCTATAGAGAATTTATGCAGTTGTACTATAATACGTGTGAGAGATATATATATATATAAAAATCACTGGTATGAAACTGGCTGCATAATATATTATATATATATACACACACACACACACACACACTACCAGGTGAGCTTTCACCTAATTAAGCTACCATGGACCATACTTTTCCTACTCGCTTTAAACCATTATTTTTGTCAAACTAGCTGTAACCAGTTTTTAGCAGGGCACAAAGCACATTATCTATCTCTCTATATCTCAATCAAACACCAGTTGAGTTCATTAAGGGCTTTGTCGAGTGTTGCTTTTGATCAGTTACTGATCAGAAGTTAAAAGTTCCAATGGAAATGGAGTGATACTGTATTTCTCTACTTTATTATCTGTAATACATATATAATTAAGCCAAGTAAATGGGTTTTAATTATAAGCTTTGTGAATTGCTGAATTACTGAACTGCACTCAGCTAAGAGACTGAACAGAGTGATGGGATATCAAAATAGTTTAACCTTTTATTACATCATACAACAATAATGGTCACTGTACAAGCCTGTATGCAGTCCAGCAGATGTCAACTTTGATGCTGTGGAACTGCAGGCCAGAGACTGATGCCCACCTTCTGAAGTATGTTCCGAATCACTGTTGTCTGATTCTTTCTCCTCACTTGCAGTTATAGCTTCAGTTTCTTCAGCCATTTCACTGGAAGTCTGGCTGGATGAGGTCTCTGATTCGGCAGCCTGCTCCTCCTCTTCGTCCTCTGTGTCAAACTTCAGCCTCTTCACCTCGTGCTCCTCTGTGGGGTCTTCCTCCAAGTGTTTATTCTTCACAGTGCTTGAAGGAGAGCTCTCATCAGGTGATAGGGAGTCACTGTCGGTAGATAAAAGCAACAGACCAGTTAGAATGAATAAACCCTAAATTGAAGGAATTCGTCGGCAAATGTGTATAATTTTTTATATTTTTAAAACACTGAAAGAACACGTTACAAAATATTGAAGTAATCACAAGAATGCATATTATATGACAAAGTAGCTGTAGAGGTGAGTTGGAGACCCTGTTAGATTTCTAAACTCACCAAAATGGCAATCTGCAATAGAAGAGTTATACTCACCGCAAGCCATTCCAGCACTACCGCTTCCATCTTTTTCTCCAGAATCTGACACCTCCAGGCGTGTCCGATGCTTGCGTCTCCCCTAGACACAAGTTGTGACTCCTTTCTGTAGCAATGCAAGAGTCAGAGGATGGAGCCAAAACATGACGGCTGTAGTGCTAGAAAGGGGGAAAGGCAGCAGACACTGGCCACAAGAGAGGCAAGTATTATTTCTCTATTTTTACAAAGGGGGGCCATTTTGGTTTAGAGACCTGACAGGGACCCTTTAGAGGACACCTGTACAATGCACCACTGAGTATGCATTCGAAACGGTCTCTCTTCTCTGACTTTACTGGCTGCATGCATGATTTAATTGGACATAATGAATCCAGGGATAGCTAGGAAAACAAGAATTTTTGGAAGGAGGTTTGGAGTGGCAGTCCCCATATATTTCTCAGCACAGACTTCCATCAGGAAGTAAAACAAATCGGCTTAGCTCTTCTGTGAATGAGAACATTGATGCCAGCATTGGAAGGAAAAAAAAAATCCTTTTGTTTTAGGGTAAAGTTCATGGGGACATTTTATGTGGCCAAAAGAAAAAAAAAAAGAATTTCACTGTACCTAAAGTCATATTAAAGGTTCATTTTTAATAAACAAACATGTCATACTTGCCTGCTCTGTGCAATGGATTCATGTCCCCTGCTGGCGCTCCTGGCTCCTCCCACACTGAGCGTTTCCTATGGGGGCACTTGTGTGGGCTCGCGCCTGAGCCGGGCTGTTTACGTCTATTCAGACACACTGCCCATCTTGGCTCACCCCATGCTCTATGCTCACTGGTTTCAACTGACAGCAGCAGGAACCAATGGCTCCCACTGCTCTCAGCCAAGCCTGTGAGAACCGGCAGAAGAAGTGAAAAGAGCTTCTGCAAAGAGCACAGCACTGGACCAAGATCAGGCTCAGGTGAGCATTGGGGGAGAGGAGCTGCACTTAATGCATTCTAAGCATAAAAGGTAAAAAACATTTTAACCTCTTCATGCAAATGTGCGGCCTCCCAGTGTCTGGGCCTTGGCGCCGAGTGGCCGCACATTTGCTTGCAATTAACAAAAACATATGTGCTGAGAGCGCACGCCCTGCACGCTCCCAGCACACGTCCGGTACTCACAGAAAGGTCCCGATCTCCTCTTTCGATTGGGACCTTTCCCGATCATGTGACCTCCGTGATGGCGCATCACGGCGGTCACATGACCTTAACACCCCGGCTTCTGAAACCCTTAAAGGGCCGGGAGGCTCCAGCGCCAAGGGGTTAAAATATAAAAGCTTTTACCTTTACAGCCACTTTTAAACGAAAAAAAAAACTTTGTTTCAGCTTTGTAGTGGTGAGGGATCAGACGATCACTTGAAGGATAGAGAGGTTGGTTATACAGATCATACACACATCAAAAACAAGCCTAGCAATATAAACCTGACCCTCCTCTGCTTATCAGTTCAGTACTGGTTCTGTCCTCGCCCATGTTGGTGCATTCGAAATCCCAGATCAGATCTGCTACTTCCGGTTCTCAATGTAGAATGTCTGTAAACAACTCCATGCACATTCCCCCACACCCAAACTAAATTTCCTTGCAGTAAAATCTATGCTGTCCAAATAGGACAACAGAAAAGAAAGCCAAGAACACTCCATTTTAAAAACACATTCCATATGGGTTACTTGACATGACTGAACACTACAGTCTTAGCTCATTCAGGTGCAGGCCAACAGTGATTAGGATTTCAGACAAGAAAATGACAACCTGTGAGTTTTGTCTTTCTGAGGCACATCGGAGTCTTTATTCTCAGCGCCGTCAGGTAAACCGTTAGACGTAGTGGGGCTCGATAACGACAGCTTAGATTTGCTCAGTGGTCTTGGTGCCCCTGTACCCCCCCCCCCCCCCCCCCACCCATTTATGTGTGCCTGGACCATTTATGTTTGATCTACAAAAGGAAAGAAACAGGGCTTGGTGTTCTAGATCAACTGTCAATGATCCATGCAATGATTGTAACACATGACACACATAGGTCTATTTAGAGTGGTTGTAAACCTCATATCAAATATGAACAAAGCATATCCCTCTATATACTTGTCTTTATCCAGAGCACTAAGTGTCATTTCTGTCTGCGGCTTCATTCCCCCTGCTGTCTGCATGAGTTACTTCTGACAAGTTTTCCTGACACCAAAAAGAAAAAAGGTGTCAGGGGAGGAACCTCCAGCAGATTGACAGCCTCAGCTCTGTCCCTGTGTGAAGGTGGTGTGTCCCTTCCCTCCAATCAGCTCTCCTTACTGAGTGCTGAAGCGTGTCATTTCAGCTCCCCCCCCCCCCCCCCCCTTTTTTTTTTTTTTTTTTTTCTTTTACAATGCAAACCAGCTTTATCTGGACTTTGAACAGTTGTAGAGAAAAAAAAAAAAAATACTACAGATAAACAGGTACAACATATGTAGGAGGATTTGTTTCATCCCTGTGTATCACCTGAGGCCAGTCACTTCCCTGGGTGTATGTAAGAGTTTGCATCCACTTTAACAGACCTACAGAGGGTACCCATTTTGGCCACGTACCTGTCAGTGTAATTTTGTGAGTTCCCTGGAAACATCACTCCGTTCATCCGATTCAGGCCTGATGAATTGTTTTTCCTACAAGAGAATAAAGGCATTTAAATGTTAAAGCATACAAGATTGAAAAAGGAGTCCAAGATCAGCCTTTGACCTTCATGCCATGTTGGCCAATCCTCCCAGAGCAGATGAACCATATAGCAAAAGTATGTGGACACCTGACCATCACACCTATATGAGCTTGTTAGATATCCCATTCCAAAACCATGGGCATTAACATGGAGTCCCCACTCCCTTTCAGCTAAAACAGCCTCTCCCCAAGATTGGAGCGTGTGAAGTTATGCTCATGAAGCCAAAAAAAAGCATCTGATATTGGATGAGAAGACCTGGCTTACAATCAGCATTACAATTCACCCAAAAAGGTGTCCTACAAAGGATAGGGGCAGAGCTCAGTACAGTCCACCCAACATG